GGCAGATGGCAGCATCGAAGAAGCAAGAGGAATACGTACAGGAAGCCTGTTGAATGCCTGTGCGGGTGTATTGATATGGAGCTTCGCGTACAAGAACCGTGGGATCGGGGCACTACCAAATACACGTCGCCCAAACATTTCCTCACCAACTGGAAATTGCCTTTCCTAGTGTAGATGGACGATATCCGTCGTTCACTTATTTCTACCACTATGATAGGTATGTGTTGATTAACTCGAATGTCCGCTTATTGTTTAAAGACGTAAAAGTCGAAAAAAAGAGACATTACTCCTTGACCAAAAAAAAGACGCCCTTTAAAGCCCCCAATATATTTACCACGAGTAGAGTTCCATCAGATAGTTTCTTTAATCAACGACGTTGTAAAGGAAAGCTGGATTAATGCCGGCCTTCCTCAGTATGTAAAAGATACTGTACAAAATGAATAGCAGTCTGATTGTGAAGCCACATGGATAGCTCTCGTGGAAGGGCTATCCGCTCATCTGGATCGGTCACAGCCTTCAAATCAAGATATTCAAAGGCCGGAAAAGTCTCCGACGACGATTGAGCCCCGCCGCTGGACGTGGGGCAGCGATGTTCTTGTCGATGCATCACAGCGGTCAGAAGCAGGACCTGCTCCTGTGCCCTTTCGGGGATGGAGATGTTGGATAGGTTCAGCTCGCGGAGGGTGCTGGAGACCATCTCAACCAGCGCACATATCGGCCGCAAAGAAATAAAGCGATTGTGTGAGAGATCCAGCACCCTCAAGTGCGGCGCACGGGGAGCGCGGAGCGCCTTGCACAGGAACGAAAGCGCGCCCCATGATTTATTCTTGACGTCGCCAAAGTTGTTCGCCGCGAGGAGGAGGTCGCAGATCTGCAAGGGGGATCCCACCGAGGCTTTCTCCAGGGCCGCCGCGAGCTGGATCAGCCCGTCGTCCCCCAGCCCACACTGCGCGAGGTCGAGCGTCGAGAGGCATCCCAGGCAGACGTGGAGCCCAATTTTGGCAAAAAGCTTCCCGTGTTGGAAGTCAATGCCAGAGAGAAGAAGGCAAGGACTGGGTGGGAATGAAAGTAACCCGGCATCCCACTCCCCGGCCGCGTAGCGCAGCCCCGCGAGCCGTCGACACACGCCGAGCGAGAGCTTCAGGAATCTAAAGCCAACCAGCCCCCACTCGCGCGCGCCCTCGGGCCCGGGCTCGGCCATCGCGCG